GACTGTCGAGAAAAGAATTAACTTTCAACCTGCTAATAAGGGGCAAAAGTTCAGTTGTTCAGTTGTGTATATGAACCTTCCTGTGGAGGAGATTTATTAAAAGGAAGCTTGCCAGCACATGGACCAGTTTGTCACAGACCCAATTTGTCACAGGCCCACACGGTACCCCGCCTCGACTGTGCCCTCCTGTTTTAGTTTTAGTAGGCCTAAGTGTTTTACAGCACTTGTATCACAATAAGGTCATTCAAGTGCCGAAGATTAGATGTGTTACAAGGGAGTAACAAACACAAAATAGAAGGAGGGGAGATAAAGACGATAGATGTTTGATAGGAAATAGGAGCAAACCACACCAGAGCACCCGCCAACCACCCGAATGATGGAAGTTATCGCTGATACTCTCAAAAAGAGTAAATGAATGATTGATTGATTGTATGATTTGAATTCTATTTTCCAATTGTTTTTAACGAAATCGCATTCACTGTTGGAAATTTTCAGAGTAATTTGCTGATTTGCATACAAAAAGGACGAAATATTGAACAACACTAGCTGAATTGACATTTTAGAGTGACAATCTCTACACCACCAATTCGAAGGTGGAGAGTAAAAAACTTAAGTTGCAACTACGATGTTTAAAGAGCTGTAATTATAGCAAAATGAACCTGTGACAAACTGGGCTGCCCCCATATAATCTATAACACCCGTGAAAAACAAACAAACAAACGAACAAACCGGTGTTAAAGAGCTGTAATTATGACAAACTGGACAGGCCCCCATCTAATATATATACACCCGTGGAAAACAAACAAACAAACAAACAAAAAGTCATGCCATACCTGTGATGTTAGAGAGAACCCTGTTAATCCTGTTATCAAGATTGGTCTGTGCAGCAGGGTTGGACACACAATAATAATATACAATTAATGTTGTTTGATTCTTGTAGGTGTATCGACCAAAAAGTCGACGTCGTGAAATAAATTAGGTCATATGTGTAAGCAATAGGCCAACACAGGATATCTTGTTATAATTGATTGTGAGTCACACGTGTGCACTGGAATAAAATATAGACCATCTATAGTGATAATGCGAAAGTTGAATTAAATTAAGTCCTACAACCCCACCCTATTCACCGTATCAAATATGTGTCACGTCGCGGTGGCATCAGGCGCCCGTCAGTTTATTGGGGCATTTGGAGTTCTTGATATCATCTTAAAGCCTATCCATTTTCCTTGCTTTTGATGAAAAAAAACAACAACATTATTTATCTATAATACAAGTCAAGATATTAGCGATTGAAGGAGGCGGGGGTCGTCTGGTTTCAGAGGTAAAATTAGCGAGAAAATGGACGCCAAAGTTGAGTTATTTCCATAGCTTGAGAGTCCCTGGAAACTGAACATTTACATCTGTTATGCCTTAAGTCAACGTTTTTCTGTACAATCCACACAGAAATGTGTTCCCTAAAGGGCATGAAAGGTGTTGAGCCAAAAAACAACAAATCTATAAAAATTCCCAAACCTGCGGAAAAGTGCCAGTTTTTTAAATTTTCATTATTATGACGAGCGTCTCATTTCACCACCATGCCTCTCAAATGTTCCTTTTAACGAGAGTGTACAAATGTATTTTCAAACGTCAGGGGTATTGTAACGTGTCCTCGTAATGTTACGTTACAAATTATAATTGTCTACTATGGCTTTCGCGATCGCGACGAGCATTAATTGACTGTAAAGCTGTTATTACAATTTAAAGGTAGGAGATCAGTTGTTTTGGGTGAACGGGGAAAGCATTTATAACACATTTTGGAACGGTAATTATCAATATGCAAAGTAAGCTACACAAAGTTATAGTAAGCTTTATGAATGAAACACTGAATGAATGAATAAATGCATAGCAGACAAGCTGTTCACATTAACCTACTATTACATTGTATACCGCTATCCTTGAATTACAAAGCTTTCTATCTTACAGTTTTGGCAATTTTGAGTTATTTATAAGACCTCGAGGTCAGAAACCAAAATTATGTCCTATTTGATCTTCTCTGTTAAAACCGTATGATTAGTTGAATCAAGCTATTCAAAGAATTGCATTTGGGAAAGCTTGACATGTTGTAAAACTCAAAATTGTTGACGTCACATTTCTCAAAACTAGGTGCTCAGCAGATAGAACGTTGTAATTGTAGGGTAGTGATACGGTATGGCACCGTCGTTATAGGCCCACTGAGTCCTGACCCATTTTATTATTATATTCACATTCCCGACTCACTGCTCCGCCAATCGAGAACTGCATCAGGGCATTAGACAGTTAATCTAACTGACCCCGGGATATGCCCTACCTGTGCTATTTTTTTTTTGGTGGTATTATGCGACCTTCCATCAGTGGCAAATATCATCATCATCGTGTGCCTTGCCGACTGGCGTGGGCGATCATGGACCTCCACTTCACTCTGTCTTGCGTTGCAGCAATGGTGTCTGTTGTTCTTGCTGCTCCTAGCCATGTTGTCATCTTGTCCAGTATCTTTTCCCTCTGTCTGCCTCAACCTCACTTTCCATCAAACTTGCCTGTTGTAACAATATTCTCCAATGCTTCTTTCCGCATTGTGTGTCCGAAGAAATTTGCCTGTCGCTTTCTTATATTCGCCATAAGCTGAGGCAAATAACAATGGCATAAAAATAAGCAAAATCGACACTATTTGATACAAATCGAAAATCAAAAAGCCAACAGCTTTATGAAGCTATGCCCCCGGTTTTTGAAAAAAAATTGTTAAGCGCATATAATTTTATTAATATTAATTAAAATCATGTAGCATCGTTTGATCTGATGTCTCCCGAAAGGCTCAGTCTCTCGAGCAGCAAAACCAATTAAATCCCAAATGAAACTCAGATTGAATCAAAACAAGTGCCAGCACCTTGCAGTAAACATGCCAGTATATCATTAAAAAAATTAAAAAATTACAAGTTTTATGAAGCCACGAGCGTAAAATGAGTGTGGCCAAATACAAGCAATATTAATGTCATCAATGTACTTGCCATTGGGCACCATCTCTTTTATTTTGATCAGTTATTTACTCCCCCCCCCTCTCTCTCACACACACACACACACACACACACACACACACGCACACAAACCCCCCCACCCACAAGCACACACTTACACACGCATAATGCTGATTTTAAAAAGCACTTATATAATTTCCAAACGATGTCATTAATGTGTTTTCATATATGGATGGTGTTTGCTAGGCTAACCCTGAAATTCCCACTTAAAAATGTTCCCACCTATGCTGATTAGTATAATAATAGCCGATATTGTATTCTCCACGACATGTATGTCACCCACGACGAGCGTAGCATTCCTGGTATTTAATAAAAACCATCCATTTTTCCGAGAAAATTCTATTTAAAATTCCGACATACATTATAATAGATCTATTTAATATCATGCATATATATATGTGAGGCGTGCTAATAAAATGAGTTACTTCTCGCACTGCATGAATGGAGATATCAGCAAATAATCAACACAAGGGTCATATTTGTAGACTCTAAACCAATGCCATTCTCCTCAAGTTTAACATGTCTTTTATCATTTCATACTGATAAATTGTAAAACTTCAACCTATAAATTTGATGTTTCTATTTCCATCGGTTTAAAATCTGAGAAATAACTAATTTTGTCTGCACACTTCACACACACACACACACACACACACACACACACACACACA